ATTCTTGAATCACGATTTGTTCCAATTAGTGCTACCAATTTCATGATCCCAGGAAACAAGCATAGAATTTTAAAACCACACAAGGACAATCAGGATGTGGGATTGTGCATTATCTTTTATTTTGGAAATTACAATGCTCCATTGGAATTTGTAAACAAGGGAAGCGTATTTAATACTGAGAGAGGAGATGTTCTTTTAATGCGAGGCTCTCATTTTCGGCATGTAGTTAAGCCTGTGGATAATGGTTTGTTGGAACATGTACATGACCCAATGAGAATTAGTGTTGTATTATTTGCACACAAAAGTTTGAAAATGAATCCATCTTATTTTCTAAACGCTGGTTCGGCCTTGAAGGCCCATGATGAAGACTTTCCTGAGAAAGCCAAGAAAAGAAAGAAAAAGAGAAAATAAAATTATTTTGTTTACTGTAGTTGTTTTTAACATGATTACAAAATTATATATTTGGAACCGGAAACCAGTTTTGACAACAAGAATATATTTGATAAAATAGTCGCTACACTAGTTTTTAATAGCTTACCTGGTAGTGTATTTATTCCAGAATCTGAAACTTTCCCAAGCTTTGATTATGCTATTATTATGTACAAAGAGAAATCATTAGAAATCTTTCTGAAACAAAGCACCATTTCTACTGTTGAATCTCATTATTGTCATAGTAATGGCAAAACAGATGTGGATAATTTACTGGAACGTCTTTATGTTTTAAATAGAGAAGGAAAGGCAATGAAAAGGAAACAAAACGTTCCAGAACAATATCATTTCTCATTACTTGAATTGATACTTCATGGAATTGTTGGAAGTGAAGAAACCAAAGTTGAATTGTTACAAGCCAGAAAGGATGATCCAAAGTTGATCAAAGATGGAAAACTTGAAAACTCAGTAACATATGGTGACGTAGAATTCACTTGGCATTACATTTACGAATCAGGTGTGGAAGAACAATCTGTAAAGAATGTTAAGGAGAATGGTATACTTTTTAGAAATAGACAAGAAATTGAAGACCAAATGAAGATTTATTTTGAAAAATAACATGATCATCATTTTCAAACATTGTCAGAACATTTAGAATCACATTGGTGCAAAAAATTATAAGTTCATTAAATACATTTGTATCAGATAATGATTGACAACCACAGGCACTTTTCGGTTAATGGAAAACATTAATGGATCAAATCCACTATCTTTCCCAAACATATTTGTTCTTGTTACTTCAGTTGTGAAGAGGCCAATGACGCTCACAATTTTCTTTCATCTTTCGAATTTTAAGTGTTTCTCAATTATTTCAATAATATTAAGGAAGTGACTAGACCTTCATGATTGGTAAAACTCCCAATTCCTTCTCCAACTGTTTCTCATACGATGCTTGGAAACGAGTATAATTATCCAACATGTTGTGTTCACAAGCTGTTTGAATTCTATCAAACATTTCAGATGTAATTGCAAATATTGTTCGTTTCTTTGGTGAATCAGTTCCTGAAGGTGAGCCACTGGAACCTCTGATTGCACTTTCTCTCAAAGCTTCAAATGTTTTCATTATTTCTGGAATTCCAAAATCCTTTCTTGAAATATTCAATTCAAGAGGAGCTCCAAGTCGAATATATGTATTACAAATATTGTAAAATAATTCTCTTCTTTGTTTTTCTGATTTGATTGCTTTGAATTTTTCAATGGCGTTCCACATCATGACATCTTCACATGCAAAACACTTTTCTGAGAATTTCAGAAAGAGATCATTCCACTTTTCATTCAGTAAAATCTTTCGAATATTACTTTCGGAATTCATTGTTTCAGATAGTTGAATGGAATTTGATTTTTGAGTTGTTTCAGAATTGTCTGTTTTTGTCAGTTCTGATTTGAATCTTTGCAGAATGAAAACAGGATATGTAAATGACACGAATGTATCTCACATGCATCCAATTAAAATTGTAATTGTCCATGGGAAATAATAATCAACACTTTACAATAATTGTAAAAAATTACAAATATTCAAAAAACATACTATGAATTAATGATTGAGAATTGTGAAGCAACTCCATACAATATAATAACCAGCACCCAAAATACACTAATCACAACAACTTCAATCTTGACATTCCAAACATCTCTCTTTGTAAACAATGCAACAATGGAAACAATTAAGGAAATGAAAATATAAAAAGCTGCATATGAAATAAATACATATTGATCTGAAATAGTCCACAATTGCAATAATGTAATAAATCATAATGTGCAACGCCACAATTAATCCATAGACCACAAAGATGAATTTAGTTCCTACAATGAATCTAAAGAGTGTAAATAATCTCTTTTCAAATATTTCCCATTTGGTTTTGTTTCTGAAAAGAATTTCCATATCCAATTGTTCATCTTGTAAAATTCCTGTAGAGCTGTCTTGTGTGGTTGATAATGAAAATGAGGACAAACTCTTTTGTTTTTCAATATTGTCAGAGAGTCCACTTGATGATGATGTGTTTTCTCCAGTATTAGATTTAGCTGTTGATGAGCTAGTTGGATTTAGTTCAGTTTCGGTTGTTTCAGTAATTTGTTTAGGATTATCTGATGATATCGAATGACGCAGTTCATATTGTCTATTACCAATCCTCACTTTCAATTCATATAATTTTGTCAATATCAACAATCTAATACATCTCAATATGACAGTATTCGAAAGTGCAGGCACAGCCAAATAATAGATTAGTGAAAATATGAAACATGGATAAATCTTTCGTCCAATTAACACTCTAGTCATTAATACGAAAGTATAGGTCCATCCAATAATTGCTCCCATGACCATCAATGCTGGATTCCTGGCAACCTGCAAATAATTCACCACTTGTTTGTGTTCCTTTTGGAGAATATGCAACTTTCTCAATTTATAAACTAAACCTCCAACCGAAACTAATAACAAGCTTGTGTGAAGGAACAACACAATAGCTGAAATAACAATGGCCGAAGTGGTGTCATCACACAATCCCTTCTCACTCTTGTTTCCTTGTGAAAGGAGGAGTGGATGACAGATCGTTGAATCATTTGTACTGGGATTCGAATAGTTAGAGACCAACAACGCATCAAATATTGCCGTAGGAAAGATCACTTTGGCAGACATATGGTGTTTTTTTTTGTTGTTAGAAAGGTGAAAGTACCGTATTTCTAAAATTGTGTAGTGGATTCCCTTTTGGGTGCCATTTTACATTGTGTTCGCGATATAGAACCAACACGAAATATGAAACGACGATTTTATTTTGTGGACTATCAATTACCACCTACTTGAGAAGGCAAATATTTCAATCTTGGTGAAATCAAAAGGACGACCACCTTGCAAAGTACAGGTTCCTTTCTTGGAAATTTCTGCAAATGATTTTACATAAATAAAGTAGTTTGAATCAGTTTTTGGAGTTGCTTTTTGTTTTTCAAGTGATTGTTAATTATTTCAGCTCGCTCAGAGTCTTTTCCAATTGGGTTTTCAAAATAAACAGATTGTTTCTCAGATTCACTCCAAATAATGGCAAGAAAGCCATAACGTGTTGATTGCTCATTCACTTCCTTCTTAAATTCCTCAATAGATGTTTTTGGGTTGATGGTAAGAATCAATTGATTTTGATATCTGAAACGTGTTTGCAATTCAAAATGATATAGTTGATTTGAGTCTAATAAGGCACATTTCATATTGTTAATTGATATTTTGATTTCAAGAGGTTTTGTTTTTGAAAACTTGTTGCCTTTGAAATAGTTCAAACTTGGGAAAATGGCACCTGACAAGTCACATTGGTTGAAACTGTTCTCCCAATCATCACTGAAACAATATCCAAACATATTACAGGATTCAAATTCACAATTTTCAAATTTAGCACCTGATTGCTTCCAAAATTCACAGTCTTTGAATAAGGTATTTACAAATACTTTTCCTTTCAAAGATTCTTGATCGAATGATTTCTTTTCAAATTTTAAAATTGGGGTACAGTTTCTGAACGTTGCATTTTCGGGATTGGAATTAGTGAAATCTATATTTTGAAAATCGCAATTTTCGAAACATGTATATTTTAAATTGCATGAGGTAAGATTTGCTGCAGAAAAGTTTCTACAAGATCTGAATTGTGCACTCTCAAGATAGAAT